CAGCTAATTAAGCCATAACACCTCCAAAGGGTTCCTGAGCCTTTAAATGGTCTCTCAGTCTGGTTCAGTAGGAATCACAAAATTTATGTTCCTGGGTGAGAAATTTGTTAAGTGAGTTCTATCTACCCCATTTTACGACTTTTCTTGCCCCGTTTGCCAAGTGAACCAACGTAGGTGTTAATTAGTGACACGGTTGCTAAGTGAATCAGGCTTCCCCATTGACTCTGCTTGGCAGAAGGTTGCAAAAGTAGCTCACGTGAATCGGAATCGGAATCAGAGTAGAGCTGGAAGGGACTTTGGAGATCTTCGAGTCCAACCCCCTGAACAGGCAGGAGACTCCAGCCTGTACCGTTTCAGACAAGGGACTGTCCAGTCTCCTCCCAAAACCTTCCAGTGAGGGAGCACCCACAGCTTCTGGTGGCAAGCCGTTCCACTGGTTAAACGTTCTGTCAGGAAATTAATTCCAGGTTGCTTCTCTCCTTGATTCTTGTCCTGCCCCCGGGGGCTTTGGAGAATAATTTGACGCCCTTCTCCTTGGTGGCAGCCCCTCCAATACTGGGATGCTGCCATCGTGTCCCCCTAGTCCTTCTTTTCTCTAGAGTAGACCCCGCAGTCGTCATCCGTGTCAGTTGTCAAGCATCTGAATGTAAATCATGTGACCGTCTGGCTGGCTGCTCAAACGGCCATAAGTCTAAAAAATGCTTGTAAGTCCTCTCTTCGGGGCTGTTGGAACTTCAAACGGTCACTAAGTGAATGGTTGTAAGTCGAGGACTGCCTGTAGGGGTGTTCCGTGTTTCTGGAACACTCCCAGTGTGGCTCAGCCATCTCTTGTTTGTCTCGCCCTGTTTTCGCAGCTCCCTGGCGAGAGGCCATCAGCGGTCCTGGCGTAGGCTTAGCCAGTTGCTAAAGCTTCACAATAATAGTATTTTTCAGAGTATAAGACACAACTTCCCCCCCCCCCCAAAAAGAGCGTGAAAATCTTGGGTGCGTCTTATACACTGAATACAACATTTTGGCCTCCGGAAACTNGGAAGGAAGGAAGGAAGGAAGGAAGGAAGGAAGGAAGGAAGGAAAGGAAGGAAGGATGGAAGGAAGGAAGGAAGGAAGGAACGAAGGAACGAAGGAAGATGGGAATGAGGAGGGGAGGGAGTGTGAAAGGAAAATGGAAATGAGAAGATAGGAATGTGGAAGGGGGAAGGTGGGAGGAAGGAAGATTATGAGAGGAAGGAGGGTCTGAGGGAAGTCCTGTCTTAGCACTTGGCCACCAGCTACTGCCCTTTTGCCATCCCTTTGCCCCCTCCTCTCCTAGTAGTCTCCCATCCTATAGCTGAGATTACAAAGCCGGGTCTCCTCACAAGGAGAGGGAGTAGGCCTCCCTTTGACCTACATACTTTGCCCTACTGCACACAACATGTACCACCTGGCCAAAGAAAGCAAGCACAGCAGCAGCGAGAAGAAGGTAAGCTCAGCCAGGCGCCCCCCTTGGACAAGTGGAGGTGGCCTGGGCTGTGAGGGCCCGGTGTCCTGGGACCTCAAGGGCTGAACTGGGAGCTTGCCCTCCACTGCCCAGGACTCCAGCAATCCACACTGCTGTCCGGGGTCCTCCGTGTGGCCTGAGAGGAATTGCAAGGCTTCTCTGGTGGACAAGGGCTTATGCTCACCCTGATCTCACTTTCCTCTGCTGGAGACAATGGACAGGTGCCTCCCAATGCGAGAAACGAGCTGGCTGCCCCCATCCCAGTCATGCTCACCCAATCAACCATAACCCTCAAAAATCAACCACAATCCTGATGCAGCCTTCAATGAAATTGAGTTTGACACCCCTGTTCTATATCTATGCTCTATGTCCATGTTCATTCACAATCTTGGTGATCCATGAAGACTGAGGGGAGACACTGATGTACTGAAAAATTAGGAAGGAAAGGCTGAGACAATGATTAAGCAAGCGGAAAACAAAAAAAGGTGGCTAAAAATTGAAGGCAGTGTCAAAGTTAAACTGCAATGACAAGGAAGAGATATTAGAAGAACCCTTGGCAGGATGATTTTAAAAAGCAGGGACTACACGTGGAGAACTGATAACAGCTGTGACTATGTTGATGTGTGAACAAAGGCACGCCTGTTAGTTTGGAGTCTGACTATATGGCAGAAGAATTCAAAAGTTCATGGGCTCTAGGAAAATCATGGATTTGTCCCAGGTATCTCTGGGCTGACTCATGCAGGAAGCCACAATCTAAATCCAATTTTCATCTCTAAGCTGCTGAGTGGGAAGATGTTAGAACTATTCTGAGGGTCTAGCTCTTAAACCATATGGAATGCTTGCACAGCCATCTAGCTATGAATGTTTTATTTCATTCTAATTTCTCAAAATCTTTTTAGTGATCCCACCACCCAGAGATACAATCATATTTAGATTTCAAATGGCTAAACAAACATCTGCTGCAAAATTACTTCAAAATGAAGTAGCTTAAAACAGCTGTATCAGAACAGACCAACAATTGTTCTATTGTAAAGTGATGCAAAAGATGGAGAGAATATGCTTCCTTTGATAATTATTTTTCTATATACTAATATGTCTGTTTATATAATAGATACTAGTATATAATAGATACTAGAATACATACTCCATATATTAGATGTATATATTCTATATTACATACCAGAGTACATACTCTATATATACATTTAAAGGTAAAGGTTCCCTTTGCACATATGTGCTAGTCGTTCCCAACTCTAAGGGGCAGTGCTCATCTCCATTTCAAAGCCGAGGAGCCAGCGCTGTCCAAAGACGTCTCTATGGTCATGTGGCCGGTATGACTAAATACCAAAGGCATACGGAACACAATTACCTTCCCACCAAAGGTGGTTCCTTTTTTTCTACTTGCATTTTTACATGCTTTCGAACTCCTAAATTGGCAGAAGCTGGGACAACTAACAGGAGCTCACACCATTACGCGATGCTAGGGATTCAAACTGCTGAACTGCTGAGCTTTCTGATCGACAAGCTCAGCGTCTTAGCCACTGAACCATAGCTTTTATACATATACATTTAGAATAAAGCTATAATCTGAATTTCTAAAAAAAAAAAAAAACCTCTGGAAATTATCATTTATCTTAACAGAAATATTGATCTAGGTCTCTGTATTTCTGAAGTGAACATCATATAATTTTTGCAATGC